CCTCATCATTCGTCTCCCGTCAGAAGAAGGGCAGAGAAAGGTGTTTGTGGAGAGCAGGCTGTGCTCTTTTAACCCGTCTGCTGGTGTGGAAGGACTCTGATCTGAACTTGGACAGAAACGTGGGTCTAAAATAAGCAGAGTGAGTCCTCACAGGCCTCACGTCTGTGTTTGAGTTTCTAAACAGAACAGAAGTGCTGTTTGTGAAACCAGCGTAAAACGTAACTGAGAACCTCCAAAGAACAGGAGGTTGCTGAGGTCCTCGGGGATCTGATCATTGGGCATGGACGCGGCGGGATGCGTTCAGGGCCCCAGAGGCCTGAACAAAGCAGGGCTTGTTTCAGTGCTGTGGAGAAGCTCGGTGATCGCTGATGATCCGTGAGGGCTCCGGCCCTCAGTCAGCGGGAAGATGGTGGGGCCGCGGTGTGTTTGAGAGCGCTGCCGTTGTTTACACCCAGACTCTTTGTTCCCCTGAGCTCGAGCGTGTTTGCAGGCTGTCGCTCGGTGTCCTCTGCTGTAGTTACAGTACGGCTGGAGCTGGGAGAGCCACGGGGGGAAACTCATCCAAGATTAATTAGCAGCAGCGCTGCGGGAGGATCTGAATCTCTCTGGGGTCAGCTCACGTCCTTGACACAGTTTCCCCACCACGCCTGAACCTGCGCTTTATTTACAGAGCGACACTAAAGGCATCACCCCTCCATCTCCCCCAGCATCCGCCTGACAGCAGACTTCTGTTTATGTGATCAGCTGTTACAGCCGCTTCATGGCTGATACTGCAGTATCAGCAGAGTACTGCAGTATCAGCAGAGTACTGCAGTATCAGCTGAGTACTGCAGTATCAGCAGAGTACTGCAGTATCAGCTGAGTACTGCAGTATCAGCAGAGTATCAGCAGAGTACTGCAGTATCAGCTGAGTACTGCAGTATCAGCTGAGTATCAGCAGAGTACTGCAGTATCAGCTGAGTACTGCAGTCGTCTGGCTCACACTGAGGATGTGCTGCAGCAGCACTCAGCCCTGCTGATGGAGGACTGTTTGCTCAGCACAACAGCAGGTTATTTATAGCTGACAGCATCTCCACAACACACACACAGAGTGAGAGAGAGAGGACAGAGAGATGCAGACAGATACGTTCTCTACTGTGTGTCTTCTATTTTTACAGTAGAATCACAGTAGAACCAGGAAGTCCGGCTGACATCCTTCCTGCTTGAATAATCTGATCACTGATGCTCTCTGAACGACTCTTTTGAGTCATCATGGATTTACTCCTCAGTAAAAAGTTACCCATTACTTTAGTTACTCCGCTGCTCTTGGAGAGCAGGAACTGTCCCGCTGATGCAGGATGACATCACAAAAACTGTCCAATCACTGTGTAACGAGTGTGTGGAGTCGTCACTCTCACAGCGCAGCTCGAGCGAGTGACGCTCAGTTCAAGGATGATGTAAACATGACCTCAGAGTGATGTCATATATGTTGGAGCCACCTCAACGCGGGGTGCCCCTCGGCAGGTCACTCGCTGTAGCGTGATGTCTGTGTTAAGCGAGTCATCCATTAATGATGGTGGTGATGGGGCGCTGCTGCTCTCGGCCTCCATCACAGCTCTAATAATAAAACTGCAGATGATGTTTTATTGATTACAGCTGCCGAGTTCACAGAGGCACGTTTCACTCTCGGCTCGCCTTCCTCCGCCCGCTGGCGCTCGTCACGACTCACCTTCCTCTGAACGGCAGCAGGTGAAGCAGCTCACCTGTCGTACCTGAGCTGCAGGTTCTGCAGGGCCGGGTCAGTTTTAGTGGATCGGACCTTATCGTGGTTCTCGTGCCTGAATTCTGTTTATTCACAGATGTCTTTTAGCCTCTGCTGAGGTTAGTGCAGGTTTCAGGGAGCTGGATGTCTGTTACGTTTCCATTTA